GGAGATTGCGAACTTGACGGTTTGGCCACAGAGGTGGAACTTGAAGATGTGGCCGTAGATTGGGAACTTGAAGGTGTAGCAGTCGAGGCAACGGCTTGACCGGACGAGGAGGCCTTGACACTCTTGCTGCTCGAGTCATCGCTGCCCAGGAAAGGGGCAGCGTCCTCGCACTGGAATCCCTTTCCACTCAAGGAGCCCTCGACGGAAGGTCCGGGGAGAGGAAAGTTGACTTCCTGGCCCTCCACTGTCTTGCACTTGCCGGGTCCGTTGATGTTAGCCTCGAACAAGGGTGGAAGGCTGTCAAAGCCGCCATCCCGGCGGGAGAAGGCAGGAGACAGGTCGCGGGCGTGCTGACGTGCCTGAGAACCACCCTTGACGGTGACCATAGCACAGTTCATGTACATCTCGCGGTTTCCGATCTTGTTGAACCATGACCAGGCCAGGAGGGCCTCCCCAGACGGGGCGTCCGAGGGAATTTGGAAGTTATACTTGGAGGTGAGAGGGCATCCTCCGAGCATTGAATGGATGACTTTGAAGGTCTTTCCCTTGTCATAAGAGAGAGAAATCTGGCAGGACCCTCCGCCGTGAGTCGCGCTGCCCTGCAGTTCAAGCTCGTATGTTTGGCCGGGCGTATAGTCAGCGACAGATTCAAAGGGATCGTTGGCATATCCCTTGCACGGGTAATCAGATCCATCTGTTGACAGGGGGTTGGTGTAGGAGTAATCCTTTTGATCCGAGTCCGGGTTCAGCGGGCTCCGAATGGGATACGGCTTCGACATCTGCATATGTCCGGAGACGCATGATGCCAAAAGGGCTGAAGCCACCAGAATGCCCTTCATTGCGAGCGCAACCCTACGATTATCCGTGGTTGAAAAGGAAGATAATCGAAGGCGACTCTGTATTTGTACAGTTAGTAATGTCCGGTCAACAATAACCGCAGTGTCTCAGGGATTTGCACGAGCGACAAAAGGAAAAGCAAAGGGCTTCTCTTCTGTGCCATGGGCTCACACTAGCTAGACATAGGAACAAGGAGACTCACCTACGAATCTTCAGACTACCACGATTGCCAGACACACAGCTGTAAAGAACAAAGCTGGCAAAGATGAGGAGAAGAAACAGAGGCCAAGAGCCAGCTCCTTATGATCGAGCAGGGGCTTCCAGTAGATCACAAGGTGGAAGTTGACTGAAGAAGTCCACGAACTAGACTCTCGTGCTCCGCAACTGGAGAGACAGCCTCACATTTTGTTTTGCTGGTTGCTGAGCAGCCCTTTTAAGTCACTCAACACACGAGCTGGTATGTACCTTTGTAAAACTCCATGGCTCCGGGTTTCAAACTATAGCCATCAAGAATGAACGCTGGATGCCATTGTCTGGTCCACTATGGCGTCCACGAGTGACAGCTCAACACTCTGTTTTGCGGAATGAAGGAATGCTGGAGGGTCAACAGACCGTTTACCAGTAAGCATCGAGGTCGCTATGGCCTTGGATACCTAGCCCGGGCCTTGTCAATTTCAAACGAGGCAGTTTCCAAGCCAAACCCCATAATCGCCGTGCGATATTTTGACGGCAGGTATGATCGCCTGCTGGTTGTATATGGAGACTGAGGGCCTTCCATGGCATTTATTGTCGTTGACGATCACCTTTTGTTTCTTAATTGGGAATTTGAAGATGAAGATCTTGATAAATGTAGTTTAGATGATGTGGTATGAGCCGGTTTTCATGAGATAGAGGAACAATTGTGATGGAATAGAGAGGTAGAAGACAGTCACAGTTGTAGCTGCGGGAAGTTGTAGATGGATACACTCTACCTATACACTACAGATCTTGGCAGTGACTAGTGCCTCCGGGAGCAAACATGCGCCCCTGAAAGGCTTAAGTTGACCATCAGCATCCAGCCTCCGATCCTACTAACGGGTCTATTAAGCAGAACCCGGCCCTGACTTGCACATTTGCTTCAATCTCGTCCTCTGCATAGATAATCCTGACCACTCGTTTTCTGCCGTTTGCATTTAGACCCATCGTTCGTTTTCCTCGGTTTCTTGGCTGCTTCTCTCATTTCTGCCACCGGACCCCGATCGATCACCGATCAAGGATCAACGATCAACAATCAAGAATCATCGATCATCGATCATCGATCGCAGAGAGAAAATGATCGGTCACCACAGTTAGAACTCATCATAAATCCCACCTGTTTAACAGCAAGTCTTGCTGGATGTTTCTGCGGCCTACTGTTTCCCAGCAGCAGAGGATATTAGCTCATGCTCTTCCCTTCCAACATGCCGCAGGTTCCCATGGTGGCCTGGAATTTGGCCCGCCGCAAGCTTCKATTCGCCACGTCTCCTCGTCACGGTGGATAACTCAATCAGCTTCCGTGGCGAGCCAAAGTCTTTCTTATCCTCTAGCCCAGAGCAGTGGACGTTCCTTGCTTTCTGTTCGCACTGGACGCGTTTCCGGTGTGATTGCGACACATTCCTCGGCTGGTCGATCGTTTAAACTGGTGGCCGCGCCAGCTTTTCCTCCTTACCTGCCTTCGAGAGGATCGTCGTCGCGGCCTTCGGAATCTGTTACCATGCCAGCCAGCGCGGTTGCGCGGGATGACACCCTCGAGATCGGATTTGTCCCACAAGCATCAAAGTCAAATGACGAGCCATCTCAGGACGTTCCTTCAGATCCAGAATCGGATGACGATGTTCCTGTTGAAGCTGAGGAGCTTCAGGATGCTCTCTCGCGTCCCCCACCTGTGAATAGTAGCTACCTTCCTCTCCCCTGGAGGGGCCGATTAGGCTATGTAAGTCAGGTTAATTCGCGCATTCTTTCGGATGCTGGCCCCTGTGTAGTCATGTTACTTATGGTGTGTAGGCTTGTCTGAATACATATCTACGGAACGCGAACCCGCCAGTGTTCTGCTCTCGGACCTGTCGCATTGCGTCCATTCTCGAAAACAGACACCCACTTGCGGATCCCTCACAGCCGCCTCATCCGACCAAGAACCGGCCTGATCGGGATCTGACGCCTGATGTTGCCCGCGGACAGGCTTATGTTGAGTCTCTGGGGCTCGCCAATGCGAGAGATCTCATTAAGCTCCTGCGCTGGAATGAGAAATATGGCATCAAATTCATGCGGCTGAGCAGTGAGATGTTCCCTTTCGCCAGCCATAAAGAGTATGGCTATAAACTTGCCCCGTTTGCATCAGAGGTTCTCGCTGAGGTTGGACGTGTGGTTGCCGAGCTTGGTCATCGAGTGTCCGTACATCCGGGCCAGTTTACTCAGCTTGGTTCGCCCAGGGTGGAAGTCATTGAGAGCTCGATCCGCGACCTAGAATATCACTCAGAGATGTTGCAGCTCCTTAAGTTGCCTCCGCAGCAAGATCGTGACGCTGTCATGATCCTCCACATGGGTGGTGTATTCGGCGATAAAGAGGCCACACTGGACCGGTTCCGGGAGAATTACAAAGGTCTTTCCCAGGATATCAAGAATCGGCTCGTCCTGGAGAATGACGACGTAAGCTGGTCAGTGCATGATTTGCTGCCCATTTGTGAGGAACTGAATATACCGCTTGTCCTCGACTTTCATCACCACAACATCGTGTTCGACTCCACCCAAGTGCGCGAGGGCACTTTAGATATCATGGACCTTTTCGACCGGATCAGGGTAACTTGGACACGTAAGGAGATCACGCAGAAAATGCATTATTCTGAACCTGTTTCCTCCGCCATCACAAATCGACAGCGGCGAAAGCACAGCGATCGTGTGTCCACGCTCCCACCATGCGACCCCACCATGGATTTAATGATCGAGGCCAAAGACAAGGAGCAAGCCGTTTTCGAATTGATGAGGCGGTTTAAACTGCCTGGGCATGACCTTTTCAATGATATATTGCCCTACACGCGAACCGATGAGAACAAACCTTTCAAGCCACCTCGCAAAACCAAGAAGAACGGAGGGTTCGTTGACCTCGAAGCTCATGTCCCTCCTGTTTCTACCGTTCCCGAGGAAGAAGTAGGCATGGGAGGTCCGGAAAGAAGAGTGTATTGGCCACCAGGTATGGAAGAGTGGCTTCGGCCGAAGAAGATCATTCGTGTCAAAGCAGGCCAGAGCTCGGCAAAACCGAATGCATCGAAGAAGGCAAAGGCAAATGAGGACTCGCCGCAAATAAAGGACGAGGATGCTGATGACGATGACGAGGGGCCAGCGACTCCGAAGCGTAAGACTTCTCGTCCACTCAAACGCACTGCGAGTGTGAAAAAGCAGACAAGCAGGAAACGGAAAGCTTCACCGACTCCGCCTTCTACTCCATCGGTCTCTGATGTCGAGGGTTTAGATCTGGCGGAACCGCCCAATCTTTCTCGTACTGAGCCTGCCAATACCCGTCGTAGTCGACGCGCAAAGACCGCGAACAGGGTTAATTACGCCGAGGAGAGCGACTCTATATAGAAAGATAGCTTCACCTTCAGGACGAGCCATTGTCCTCAATGACTGCCGGGCCAGTCTTTTGTATAAATAAATCACATTCAGTCTCATACATGTATTATAATTGAATATGTGAAAATCACGCCTCGACGTAAATAATAATAATGTTTTGACAAGATTCCATCATTTTCCGTCTCACTATCTATCTAGACCGTTAGTGGTGCATCTGCGGCCGATGATGAAATGATGCCGCCGGGCCCTGTTCCGCTTCTCCACAGCTCAAAAGGGCTCAACAGCAGCTCTTAGACTATCTATCTAGTTCTCATTTTCTGCATCCCCGTCGATTCTGCCGCAGTTCTTGCCTTTTAGATCAGCATTTGTTCGTCATGTTCACTTGATCCTTGATCACATTTACTGGGAATCACAGCCCACACAAGCTTTAATCCGGCGACACCTAAGCACAGATCTCGGACAACCTTGCCGCCAACAAAGCTCATCAATCGGGGACACCTCTTTTTTCTACGACCTTGAAGTTGATAGTATCAAGCTCTGCTTGTATCCCCCGAAGTAGATTCCTCCCATATCGACCCTGGCTCCCAAAATCTATCCTCGCAGTCGTTGGCTAGCGCCCCCGCCGACTTCCCAGTTCAGGCGTCAACCCCTCTTTCGGTTTCTCCCCTCGCTCCTTCGTCCCTCGAATCGAGACCGACAGACCAGGCCAGGACGGCTTCTTCGTTTCTTCCGTCTCCTCATCGGCCCCCACGCCACCCGCCGCGCTCAGCTGCGCCTTTGGGGTCTGCGGCACGAAACGATCCCCGCTTTCCGCCACCGCGCACAAGCAAGGGTCTATCGCGCCATCGTTCGGCAGCAAGCAAGACGGGCACGTAGACGAATCTCGGGCAAGAAGGGTATACTTGAGCTTCTGCTTCTTGGGCGGAGGGGACCGGCCAGGAGACTGAGTGCTGGCGCTGCTGGAGGGTCGCAGCTTGTTCCGCGCGTGAAAGGTCTACGAGCCGAAGGACAAGTCCCGGATGCAGCTGCAAGATCCTCGATGTCCCAGTACGAGTCGTCCGCTTCTGCATCGTGGGGCGCCGGGAGTGGCGGGCGGCGCAAGAAAGTCTACGAATATCTGAAGGCGGCTAATGAGCTACGACAGACGTATACGGCGCAATGGACGGCGCAGAGGAATAACCAGCGTGATTATAATGAGGAATATTACAATACTCCCGGTGCGTTTTCCGATGTGGAAATCACGCGGTCTGGAAATGAGGAGATGGTTCTGTTCCCAAGCTACGCAAGGAGACTTGTGAAGGGCAAACGGCCGGAGGTTCAGGCCCGCCAGCGGCGCGATTCGACTTCGACGATTGATGAGTACCGCGGTGTGCCGGACGATCCGGAGCCCGCGTCCGAGTGGACACGATACGAGGATGAGCATGCAGTTGTGGGTGTCGATGTGCGAGGCTGGGTCTACGCACCTCACCGGGGGCCGATGACGCGGAAACATCGGTTGCTGATTGCGCTGGCGAGGAAGTTGAGCGGGATACCTGCTCCTAACAATACATCGGCCGATGATGGCAACGCGACTGTAGCGGTTGGAACTTCTACGAAAACGGCCGGGGCTAGCGAAGAGGAAATGGTGGATCAAGAGATACAGTCTATTATCAAGAACGCAGAGAAGAGCGCAGATCCCGTCTGGAAGAGCAGTGCTTCTGGTGATCGCAGTTCAAGTGCTTCGTCTGAGAAGGCCGCGCAACCCTCGCAGTTGAGCAAAGATGAGCTGACAGTTGCGAATGCGCATCTCATGGAGAGACTGCGCCCCTTTCTCACAAATCCAAGGGCCGCAATGCCTGTGACAGTCTTCTTCTATAACGACGAGCAAAGTCAATCGAGAAACATCATGACAGACGAATCGGGCCACTTCAATCTCCGTGCAACGCTGCCGTTTGTACCAACTCACATCCGCGTGTTGGCCTCAGAGGAACTGTCCGCTACAAAAGAGATTCAAATCATCGAGCCAACAGGAGTCAGCTTGATCAGTGACATTGACGACACTGTGAAGCATTCTGCCATCACAAATGGCGCGAAGGAGATATTTCGGAACACATTTGTCCGCGAACTGGCCGACCTCAGTGTCGATGGTGTCACTGATTGGTACAACGAGTTAGCCAAGATGGGTGTAGAGATTCACTACGTCTCTAACGCACCATGGCAACTCTACCCGTTGTTGGAACGTTATTTCAAACTGGTTGGACTTCCTCCCGGGTCCTTCCACCTGAAGCAGTACAGCGGCATGCTACAGGGGATCTTTGAGCCTACAGCAGAAAGGAAGAGAGGATCTCTGGAACAAATTCTGCGGGACTTCCCTGAACGCAAGTTCATATTGGTCGGCGATAGTGGCGAGGCAGATCTAGAGGTCTATACTGATATTGTCTTGGCGAATCCTGGCAGAATTCTTGGCATCTTTATTCGTGATGTCACCACGTCAGACCGTAAGGACTTCTTTGATAAGTCTGTCGATCATCTAGAAGGCGTCCCTGCCCGGAGTCACAGCACTCCTCAACTTATCGACGACTCAGATGCGATAGCAAAGCGACCCGCGTTGCCGCCTCGTCGGCCCCGTGAATTCCCAGGGCGGTCTACAGAAGCCGTTAGTATTGATAATGGCGACCTGATCGATCTACGGGACGAACATGAAGGGAAAAGCGTATCGGCAGATGCGCCCAAGCCCGCAAGCTTCCGTACGCCGCCCATGAAACCGGGCAAGCCCTCCTCTCTTCGAGCTGTGACAACCAATTCGGAGTCGACAGAAAAGGGAGCTCCTTCTCCAATTCAGGATATCATCCGGCGCAAACCTGTTCCTCCAGTACCCCCTCGCCGTCAAATCCCAACAGATCAAGAGAAATCTTCGAGCTCCCCTAAAGCATTGGCACGGAGTACAAGTTACGCTGGCGGCGTCCTGAATGCAGTCCAGTCGGTCACAAACTCCCTCCCAGCGGCGACAAAGCAGTTACCGTTCCGTCCCAAGACCTCTGACGGCAATGGCGCGGTTGATCCACCATCTGATCCGACGAAGTCGGCGCGTTCCAAGCAAGCCCCTCCGCCTCCACCACCGCGGCGCACAAATACAGGGGCTTCGACTGCGACTTTGGATAGCCCCGGTAACTGGCCAGCATCGCAGAAAATACAGTCATACCCAGCTTCCGCCGCTGCCGCGGCGTATCAATTCGCGTCTGAACGTCTCAATTGGTCCGCGTCGCCAGCTACTTCTTTGCGGTCCAGAGCTTCGATCCCATCCTTGAGTCGTTCCAGCACCAATCCTGTGAACAATCAATCAGACTCGTCATCTGTTCCCCCTCCTCCGCTACCTAATAAGAGAGAGGAGATGTGGCGGCGGCGGTGGGAACGGGCTAACGAGCTCCTAGCGGAGCAGGGGGTAGTGTTGGGCAGCTGGCGTGTTGGGAAAGATATGAAAGATGTCAGTGTGTGGCTGGTACAACAGGCCATGAAAGACGTGCAGAATGATTCCAATACGCAAACTGAACCGAAGGCATGAAGTTTCTTTTGCTTCTTGGACAGCAATATACAATTTTCTCGATGTATATATAGCATACGTGATGTATACCCACCATATGATAGATCATGACATGAACAGCGTTCTGACCGTGTACTTCAAACCGAGTGTGATAGAATAACCATCCAGCAGTTAATAAATATCTTTTTTGTAAATGGACCAATTGTTCACTAATCTCAGGGCTTCGTGTCTGCCAAATGCGCCAAGAAGCTGAACTGTCCCCTGAACTTCCCAAAAGGGTAACATCCTCGGCTCACGGCTATCACAGGAAAATAACTAATCATCCCCGCATGATTGGCAGTCTCTCCAATCCCCCAGTATCTATCTTTATTTTTTTCTCGCAACTCGATCTCAAACCAGTCCAGACTAGTACTGACGTGATATTCTTTGATTGATCCTTACTTCTGCATATATATCCGAAGATCTTAATCTTCCATAGACCTCCTCCCTCGCCATGTCCAAAACCTTCACCCGCGCCGAGGTCGCGAAGCACAACACCGAGGACTCCCTCTGGTGCATCATTGACCACCGCGTCTATGACCTGACCGACTTCCTGGACGCCCATCCGGGCGGCAGCGTCGTCCTCGCCCAAGTCGCCGGCCAAGACGCGACAACAGACTTCTACAATCTCCACCGACAAGAGGTCATCGACAAGTACCGCGACCAGCTCTGCATCGGCACAATCGAGGGCGAGACCCCCGAAGTCATCTCGCCCGAGCCGGGCAGTCTGAGCACCGTTCCCTATGCGGAACCGCTCTGGCTGCGGCCGGAGTTCAAGAGCCCCTACTACAAGGAGAGTCATCGGCGGTTGCAGCGGGCGATGCGGGAGTTCACGGATCGGTATGTGACGCCTGAGGCGCAGGAGAAGGAGAGGGATGGGACATATATCAGCCAAGGGTTGATTGATAAGATGGCCGAGGCGAACGTGTTGGCTATGCGGTTGGGCCCTGGGAAGCATTTGCATGGACGGAAGTTGTTGGGAGGTGTGGTCGATGGGAAGGAGTTTGATTACCTGCATGATATGATTGTTGCGCAGGAGATGGTTCGGAGTAACGCGAGAGGTGGGTGCATCTTTTCTTTTTCTATTTTTTGCTCTCGCGCACTGGGATGAGGGCGATGGGCTGACGTTTGGCAGGCTTCCAGGATGGAAACATGGCCGGAATGGTCATTTCGTTGACGGCGGTCCAGCAGTGGCTGCGCAATGCTCCTCTGCGCGAGAAGGTCACCGAGGAAGTTCTGTCGGGCCGCAAGAAGATGTGCCTGGCTATCACCGAGGCATTTGCTGGCAGTGATGTGGCCGGTCTCAAGACGACGGCTACGAAGACACCTGATGGAAAGCACTACATTGTCAATGGCACCAAGTAGGATTCCCCGCCGGATAAAACGCTGTCTCCATGATGCTAATTGACCTACGTTTAGGAAATGGATCACCAACGGCATGTTCGCTGACTACTTTGTCACCGGCTGCCGGACCGAAAAGGGCTTCACCGTGCTCCTGATTCCTCGCGGTGAAGGCGTCGAGACCAAGCAAATCAAGACCTCTTACTCCACCGCGGCCGCCACGGCATTCGTCCAGTTCGAGAACGTCAAGGTTCCTGTTGAGAACCTGCTGGGCGAAGAACACAAGGGTTTTATCGTGATCATGAGCAACTTCAACCACGAGCGCTTCACCATGGTCTGTGCCGTCATTCGCATGTGCATGACCGTCACGGAAGAGTGCATGAAGTGGTGCAACCAGCGCATCGTCTTCGGAAAGAAACTCATCGAGCAGCCTGTCATGCGTCAAAAGTACGTTTCTTTTTTTGCCTCTAGCTTGCTTCCGAAAATGATTGTTGCTAACCGCTGATACCAGACTCGCCCGAATGATTTCTCTCTGTGAATCCAATCAGGCCTGGTTGGAATCCATCGCTTACCAGATGTGCAACATGACCTATGCTCAGCAAGCCGCGCACCTCGGCGGTCCTATCGGCCTCCTCAAGTCTCACTCTACGCGCTGCGCGCAGGAAATCGCGGACCACGCCACGAATATCTTCGGCGGTCGTGGAATAACCCAGACTGGGATGGGCAAGGTTATCGAGATGTTCCACCGGACATACAAGTTCGATGCAATCCTCGGTGGCACGGAGGAGATCCTGGCTGATCTCGGCGTAAGACAGGCCATGAAGAAATTCCCCAAGGCGGTGCTGTAGACGGGTCGTGCACCCCTGTGGCCTTCTATCGTTCATTCTATTTGTAATTATATATCTTGTTCTTGTTCTCGGATAGCGTTGCCTCTTTCTAGATATCGAGCTCCTATACCAGTTAGACTCGACATGCAATCAACCAGATACATCGTTACCTCAATCCTCAGTACTTAGTGTCTCTCTTTCTCCTGCTTTTTGGCCTGACAGTCAGGACCCATACTTGTCTCAACATGACGAGAAATCCAGAAATAGATCCACCATTACTTTGAAGAAATCATGGCAAAGGTCGCGTGAACCAATAGTCTTCAATATAGTCAACGCGTGGCTCAGTTCGTATTGGAACTTTCATGAGGGCCAGTTTATCAAAAGGTGGATTCTACCGAGCGACACCTGCCGCTCGGAACGACCGAGAAAGATGTGAGTCATATAAAAATGACTCGCCTGTCGGGGGTGAGGCATCCGATTCCTATATACTGATTCTGAAGCGCGAGTTGAGGATATTGCCTGATCAGGAAGGTCAGTCAATTCCGGGGTGGGCCTGAGGTACGGTCCCGAGATCTCCACAGGATGGGGTGGAGCAGAACGCTGCCACTTGTCGAGTAATTTCCGTCAACTTGAGTAAAGAGCTTCTGCTTGGCCGCAGGACTCTAATTGTAGCTTACCTATCGAAATGCAGTTGGCGTGTCTTGGCGAGAGGCGAGTACATGCTTCGGGCTTGAAAGAATGAGGTATTGTTTTTTGCTTGTCCATGTGACAAACTGACGTACTACCAGAGTGTCGAAGCTTCGAGGTCCCCTGCGGATGCAACTCTGGCGGGGTTAGGAATGGAATGTGTACTTAAGCACCATGGAGCACCCTTCATCTTTGTGGGATATGCGCATTTCAATTGTATCTGCTTCTTCCTACGGTCGACAAAATGGAACTGCTACAAGTCTCTGGTGCAGCATATTACGATTCCTTGCTGGGTCGTCGACCGCAACACCCTCCCGAGGATTTCACTCGCATTCTTTATATTCCTCGTCACAATTCAGCAACAGTGCACCTCCCGCTATACGATGTCGCGGAGCAGTATCGCAATGCTGTCAAGGGATGTGTCCTCAACAGCAGCCAGTACGCTGTTCAACTCAGTATGATGGAGAAGCCGCGAGACGATGGGATGAACTGTGAGGTGGCCTATCATGCCAACCTGGACAGAATCGCGACAGACGAAGCGCCTATTCGATTGCAAGTGCAGCGGAGATCGTTGTTTGAGGATGGTGCGGCAATAGCACATGCGTATGTATTCATCTAGGCTGTTTGCAATGACTCCACCGTTCGCTTGTAATGTTGACCGCTGGAATGAATAGGTTGACCCGTCTGCCGCCTCATGATGGATGTCTAATCGCTATCGGCAACGGTCAGAAAGGAACTGACACATATTGCACGCTCATGGAAGCCTCCTTCCCGATACAACCGAGCATTCGAGGAAAATATAGCATCCCCCATCCTTATTTCACGTTCCTGCTGCCAGGGAAGAACAACAACCAGCGGATAGTCCAATGGCAGGTCCGCCCCAAGGAAGATAGCCTGCGTCGATACACATTAGTTGAAATCGGTGCGGCGTCAGAGAAGCCTGACGGCGCGCTGCCAGAAGACAATGTGCGAGAGCCGAAAATTCTCGCAATCTACCATCATATCGGGATCAACGTGTGGTTGCCAAAAGATTTCAGCGAAGGTGTGCTTCTTCTTCCAGACAAATCAGGGGCGGAAGATAACGAGCGGGAGCTGTTGATAATTGCAAGTCTATTGGCTTTGCTTGGGCAACTGCGGGAGCAAGCGCGGATGAAGCCGCAAAAACTGAAGGGTGCCCACTCTCGAAATTCCCGAAACATGTTCCAGAAGGCAATTTCTGTCATTCATAGGCATTAGCCATCAAAAAAGCACCAATTAATTGTTAAATGGTTGAGCGAATCATACCATGCCTGTCATATAATCAGATAATCATGCTGCTGTGTCAATTCGGGCGAATGAGTCTGTAATCAGTCAGAGACCTGTGGAAAGGAAGGGGAGAGAAGAATTAGTAGACCGCTTACGAAAGTGGTCCAGGAAATGTTCCGATCATCGCCAGGGGCTTGCGCAGCCCTCGCAGCCCAGACCTTCTCTAACAATTCTCGAGGTACTGGATTGCGGAACTCAGATCTCCGCTCAATCTCATTCAAGCGCGCGATGACATAGTATTGAGAGTGAGGAGAAAGCGCATCCGATCCAGCCATGAACAGGGGGAAAACAAGAAGCTCAAGGAGGCAACAATCTGAGGGGATTCTGGCTGTAGCGTCTAAGATCCTCGCCACGCACTCCTGTACTTCATTGCTTCGGGGTTGTTGTAATGGGTTTAACAAACGAAGGATGCGCAGAATGCAAGCGTACTGAAACGCCTCCGCTGTGGACATCCACCGAGGATCAGAGCTGGGATATGTTCTAGCTGTCCTGTCGAACGAGTAGAGCTCATGCTTTGCCGATTGCAAAGCAACGTGATACTCATCCCATGATAACCAGCCGAGATTGTATTCCTTTGCCTTTTCCAGGGCTGCTCCAATAACCAGGAAAATTTCCCTGGGGCATCCGTTAACTAGCTCGAACTTTTCATCGGTGGCACTGGCGACGGTTTGGCGAATGTCCTGAGAGAAGCACAATCGTTCAGGACCAGCAAAGGCACGAATGATGTCAAGCCTGAACAAATTTGAATAGTCAGTGGACAGGCGTTAATCATGGCACTGATTGCAAATACCAAGCCAAATTTCCCAGGAAGAAGACCGCTCGTCGTCGCCGACTATTCAGCCCATCTGCTAATAGTAGCTGTTTGCATACAGACATTGCCCCCGTAATGTGTATGCCATGGGTAGAGATACCCGTCTCAGCAATCTTTAAGCTAGGTCAGAAGTTTTCCGAAGGAGCGAGCTGACACTGCAGCTTTCACCATTACTTACGTCGTGTAGAAGGAGAATCTGGATTATGGCGAGAACAGCATCTTGCTCGTCCTCATGCAGGAAATTAGGTCCCTGACTCTTCCTGATTTCCTCACTGAGAGCGCGTATGGCTCTCAGCCGATACTCGACTGCAGCCTCCTCATACAGAGACATATTTTCTGTAAGTTTGCCAAGATGAGAGGCCGAGAGCCCCAATATGGCATATAACAAGCCAATCTGTTTTCTCGCCAACGGGAGTATATAAGCTCGGTAAGGATTACTGCTAGTACCACCTATCTCAGCAATTTGATGCGGGCATATGAAGCTTTCATCTGTGCCACTCTAGCGTCAGTGTTTCTACCCTCACAAAATCCAGACAATAAGAGCTTACAATGCGATAACAACATCTCCGTCTGGGTGAGATCCAGTATCTTTTGAATGTCGTCTGGCAATTCTGTTGCGCTTCTGCTAGGCTTCTTGGAAGACGGTTGCGTTGTGACACCCTCTGTCCGTCCAGGCGTATCCGAGCGCGGTGTTGCGGTAGTAGAGACTTGCTGCGACTCAGCAACACTAGCCTTAGCTTTGGTGTTCCTTGGAGTTGGCACTCGTGCGCCTTTCCACCTTCCCCGACTAGCGATTCCGCAGAATCGGTACTGGTCGGGGTACCCGCCGCATTCTAAGCCTTTTGACATGCAACGTTGACACTTGGGTCTACCGCGATCACACTTGCGGCACTTTTCCCTACATGTCTTGCATGCAGGGCCTGCAGCGGTACCTAACATCAGAAGTTGTTGGCTATGGTTGCACAGCATAAGATGAATATATGGGGACAAACCAGCTCGTGGCATTCCGTAGGCGGCGGTGGCACTTCAGAAGGTGTGACTCTCGACTCTCATTGAACAAGGCGAGGTGTCAAGGAAAACCTAATTTTAAAAGGAGGCAGTGAAACGACAATTATATCGCCAATCATGTTCGATTGAAAGAGTTCGCTAAGACAAATATAGAACGAGCAATCCAGGTGTTGGCCTTTTGTATATTTACCAACTCGGCTCCACTTCAGTCGAAGGTGACTAGTTCAGGATCGATAATACTACCACTATCTCTGGCTGAAATCGACAACAGCCATCGGCTTTCAACACTTGTCTTCAAGTAGTTATTCAATGGCTTGTAAGCCAACATCAGCCTCATGTGGTTGCAGTCAGTTGAGGCTGCTCCGTAAGCACTTCGAAAACACATATCGAGCTAGGCAGCATTCGGTAAGGTGTCAGGCCATGGTAGAGCTTCTTTTTATCATTTTGCACGTGAATGTGGGGTGTTTGCATCATTTGTCTGCTTATTGCTTGTCAGCCTTCCTATATCTCCGGCCCGTTTGTCGCTCCGGTCATTATTGACGCAGCGAGCTGATGCCTACATCAGTACTTCGCCACTACCATTTATACCTGTCCTACCTTTGTGTAAGACAAGCATATTTTCCATTGATACTTTGACTTTCACAGCTAAGAAAATGACTGAACGCACGAACACGCTCAACTCTGACAATGTATTAGCCCTTGCTGCGAGGGCTCTTCGGAAAGACAATGAGGGTCAGCTTAGCCTCAAAACACCCTACGAGGCTATTGCGCTCATCGGTCATGCTTGTATGAAGGCAGTGGACTTCAGGCTTCTCGGGCTGGGAGAGGAGCACACCATAGGTCTGCAACAGATTTATTTGTGACATGTCAACTTTCACTGTTGTATCTTTGGGCGCATGTAGCTAACGTATCCGTTCGTAAGCAGAAAGCTCGACTGAAGACCAGACCTTACCCGCAGAGTGGAATGCTAACGATACATATTCTTTTCGCTATGCCCATACTCAATCCTCCATGCAGTTCTTGCTGAAGATCAGTCGATTGGGGAATAATGCCGTTATCCTTGCCTTGGCCCTAGGCGATGACAAAACCTCATCTTTTGATCTGCCAGTTAAGGACTACATTTCCGGGTCCGCCCTTCCTATTACTTCCACAGACGACTTGACGAAGACCCTAAGGGATGTGTTCATTTCCGAAGCGCGGCTGAATGACTTGATTGGGCTGTTTAAAATGAACGTGATTCTGAAGCTAGCTCCTGGCTTGTACAAGGAAGGATACGAAGACACCACTCAAGCCATACGAGAAAGGCAGCAAGAAAGGCCACCTCAATATGATCCCTTAAGGGACGATACACTACCTCAGCCTGCACGCCCTTATCCATATGATGATCCCCTGGCAGCAGGTCCTCGTCGACCTGCGCCCCCAGGCGATTTTGCTCCCCCAGGATTTGAAGATGAATATGAGATCTACCGTCCTCCTCGAGGATATCCCCAGGGAAATGGTGGTCGTAATCCCTTGAGTATTGGCGATAGAGATTTGTATCCTGCCGGTCTCGGTCCGAATGACCCTATTCGAGGAGGCGTTGGCCCTGGTCTCGGAGGGGGAGGCAGCGGAGGCGGAATGCACCCAACGTTTGACGACCCCTTGTTCGGTGGTCGCCGAGACGGTGGTTATAATCCGCAAGCGCCCCCTGGATCTCGATATGATCCCGTAGGCCCGGGAGACCCGCAATCCGGACGAGGGCGTGGTCCGTTTGGAGGAGGCTCTGGAGGAGGCTCTGGAGGATTTCCAGGATTTGGCGGAGGATTTGGCGGTGACATCATCTAGGCGCGCGGCTAAGCAGTAAGCCTTTTGTAGCTGACAAGACGGTCTAGGGTAGTACTCCTTGCTAGATTTACGACAGAATGCATAATGAAATTAATCTATAATTGAAGCATCTACAATCCGCGAGTAATTCAAAATTAACTCTCTATAGTAGCAATGTAATCGCCCTTCTTGGCGTTAAGGAAGCCAAGTTGGTCGGGATTCGAGTTCCTGGAGATCGTGGAGAGAGGGTGTGGCTTAGACGAGCCAAAGTGTGGCGCATGCCCAACACCTCCTGGCGTCGTCCAGCACAGCACAGCACAGTACAGCAATCCCTCCCCTACACACCACCAGGTCGCTTTTCTCCCAACCTTCGTCTCTCATCCATCCCACTGCATCCGATTTTTCCCCCTCGCCCGTTGAAGCTTATATTTTTCTTATTCAATTCTATATCCTTTGTTTTGTGGATTCTTGCATCATCACAACTGAGAAAATCCCTGGTCAGCCTCACGAGACCGTCCCCTCCCAGTCTCCCGCCCCTCCTCCACATTTGCAGTTATCTTGAGCTTGTTGTCGCCCAACACAATGGATAATAACATGGAAATTGATCCGGCGCGGTCACCGGAGCCTCATCACCTTTCGCCCACAACCGACCCTGGGTCCATACCTACGCTCGATGGGTGGATTGAAAACCTGATGGCTTGCAAGCAATTAGCGGAAGATGATGTTCGGAGACTTTGTGATCGAGTGCGTCTTTCTTGATACGTGTTGTCTCCGACATCACTGTGATAATGAAATCTAATTGACGTCTGCGCGTTCCAGGCTAGAGAAGTTTTGCAGGAAGAGTCGAATGTGCAGCCAGTCGTATGTGCTTCCCTCGGCCTGTTCTTGCTCTGTCATTCATGCGGATCGCTCGAGTTGTTGACTTGAATTCTCAGAAATGCCCCGTGACTGTCTGTGGTGATATACATGGTCAATTCCACGACCTAATGGAACTATTCCGTATTGGAGGTCCTAATCCTGACACAAACTACCTCTTCATGGGTATGTGATATTACACCCTTGATTCGTCCTTTTTGTCTCCGTGCTCCGTGACTCATAACAGACTTGCGTCTCCAGGTGACTATGTCGACCGTGGCTACTACTCTGTGGAGACCGTCACGCTTCTTGTCTGCCTCAAAATCCGTTACCMCCAGCGAATCACCATCCTCCGAGGAAACCACGAGTCCCGCCAGATCACACAAGTGTATGGGTTTTATGACGAGTGCTTGCGCAAATACGGCAATGCCAATGTCTGGAAATACTTTACCGATCTTTTCGACTACCTTCCTCTCACCGCTCTCATCGAGAACCAGATCTTCTGCCTGCACGGCGGTCTGAGTCCCTCCATCGATACTCTCGACAACATTCGTTCTCTGGATCGAATCCAGGAAGTTCCTCATGAAGGACCCATGTGTGATCTGCTCTGGAGTGACCCCGACGACCGATGCGGCTGGGGTATCTCTCCCCGTGGTGCTGGTTACACCTTTGGGCAAGATATCTCGGAAGCATTCAATCACAATAACGGCTTGACTCTTGTTGCACGAGCACATCAATTGGTTATGGAGGGATACAATTGGTCGCAGGATAGAAACGTGGTTACCATTTTTTCGGGTACGGCCCCTTTTCCCCGCTCGTGTCTATGCCTACCACTAACGTGCTGTTCTCAGCCCCCAACTATTGTTACCGCTGTGGTAACCAAGCCGCGATCATGGAAATTGACGAGCATCTGAAATACACATTGTATGTTCCATTGAAAAGCGAAAGACCGTCTTGATTGTTTTTCTGTACTAACCGATTGTCTCAAAGCTTACAATTTGATCCTTGCCCGCGCGCGGGAGAACCAATGGTCTCGAGACGTACACCTGATTATTTCCTGTGATGTGATTCCAATAGACAAGCTTTTTCATCACTACTGACAAGTTGAGCTTCTTATGACCCTTCGAGAGGGCTACTGGGATGCTGGGAGCATACGGAAGGATCCACTTGTCACAATAATTGTATGTCCTTATTTCAGGCCGTGTTGATACCAATTATGAAAATAAAAGACGTTCGCAAGAATACTATCGTTCTTCCCTCTACTCTCTGACCTTCGATTCTGCCGCGGTCGTGGCGCTCTTTAGTTGCCATCAGTGTTGGTAATATCTCAGAGAACTTCGTCTGCAATGCTTTACATAGCACCTGGAGATTTTAAAAGCAAACCTGGAGGATATTAGCTGATCCGAATGGAAGCAAACAAATGATACTCACCCCCATCCAAGTTGACGATTTGTCCGTTAATATAGGTCCCAGCCTTGCTGCAGAGGTAAAGAACGACACTGCCAACATCGGATTCCCGTCCCACGCGGCCTGCACCAAATTATCAGCTCACTCGAGTCCCCAAAGCGCAAACACCTGACTCCAATAAAGCAAGTCTCACCTGCCGGAAACTTCTTCCCCACATCTTCCTCCTGCCTAGATTTCCGATTCTCATCAAACCTGCCC